CGGGAAGCCTGCTTCTCCTTCTCCCACTCCCCCTGCTTGTGTTCCCTCTCTCGCGCTCTCTCTCTGTCAAATAAATAAATAAAATCTTAAACAAACAAACAAAAAAAACAAACGAAAACTGAAAACATCCCCCATTAGAATGTCAGCTCCACATGAGCTGGGACATTTGTCTGTCATGTTCCCTGTTTTTCCAGCACCTAGAGCAGCTCGGTGCACAGGACATGTTCAGTAGGTGTTTATTGAATGAATGAACCCTTTGACATGACAATTGCACTTCTAAGACTGTGTGCTAAAGAAACACTCACACATATGTACAGGGCTCTGTGCCCAAGAACGAGAGGAGCAAACAACTGAGAGAAACTTGTAAATGTTTATTAATTATCGATGACTGCTGCAACGTAAATGAATAATGGGGGTTTGCAGCATGGAGCACCTGCTGAATGAGAACAAAATGAGGGGTACTTGTCCAAGATGTGCAGGCAATGGGGAAAAGCAGGTGGGAGATACTTACAGTGGTACCACGTGTGTGTGTAAATGCAGAGAAAAACACGTGGAATCAAACACCCAGAACTGCCCTCCAGCAATCACATCAGGGGAGGAGGGTCGTGCCGTTCTGGGCAGAGAATACCCAACAATACTTATTTTCTAAGGTTAAGTGCATGGATAAACAGAAAGAAATATGCATTAAGTATATGTCTTGTTCATTAACAAAACTCTAATATCTAACAATATTTGTCACAGAGTAAGAAAAACTTTTCACTACTGTGAACTCGCTCTTTTACTCGCTATACACCTGATGGCTAGGAGTTCACAGCCATGCCCATGTTCGTGAAAGGCCACTTCGTGAAAGGCTTCTTATCATGGGCACTTGTCACATCCCTGAGGTTGAGGCAAGGAAAGAGAAGGAACGTGAGTGGCAGTGAGCTCCGATTGCCAGATAAATCAACACCAAATTCTTCCTCCGGGCTTGCAGGACCCCGAGCACTCGGATTCTGCCCTACCTCATGATCTACAAGCACCTCTCACTGCTCCTCAAACAGAACCTTATGCTCAGGCCACAGTGACTCCCTTACCTGTCCTATGAGTTTCTAGGCTAGAGGAAGATGCGGCCTATACATCACGGGATTTGGGAGCCCACAGCATTCTAGGTAGGGAGGATCCCCGGCTATACAGAGCAGGGAGCACAAAGAGCGTGGGAAACCTCATCATTTAGCCTCAATGCTGCACCTCAAGGGACTAGGAGAAAGGAATGATTTGGGGAGCAAGCGACAACACAGTACCATAACAGAAAAGCACATTTTGCAGAGGGGTGCGGGTGTGGACCGCGAAGGGTCACTTACAGAGTTAGTCATCTTCCTCGGGATCACTGATCTCTTCATACACTATTAGGTTCTTTCTTTCCCGCAGTCTGTAGGCCCAAATACTATTCATCCCTCTCCTGGGTCCTATGATGGAGAAGAGTTGGTAAATGGGGGATGGATGGGCTGGGGAGGGTTAGTCTCTGTTTTGTCAGATAAGGAGATGCCTCTTCCCTCCCGAGTGCCCACAGGCATTCAACATAGTCTGTTTTTCACATCTTCTGGCTCAGAGAGGCTGAGATGTAGACCTTCACCAATACACGCCAAATGCCAGTTAGAAGTTTAGCTTCTGGCTCCTCCCATTGTCAGGTTTAGATTCCCAACCTCTTTACTTACCAGAACATCCATTCAGACCTTCTTTCATTCAGCCTATGTTTGTTAAGGGTATACTGTATGTCAGGCATTGAGCTGAGGGCTGGGGATACAACTGTGAGTAAGATACGTTCCCAGGTTATCACAGATGGAATTACTTGACCACCTTCCATGTTGTACAGGCTTTCTAGATTTAACGCCTTTGAACAATTTGTGAACCAAGATTATTTCCATTTTATGGACTAGGAACCTGGAGTTCAGAGAATTCAGAAGACTTGCCTAGAATCACCTGGCTTTTATATCAATGACAATTCAAGTCTTTGACTCTGGAAGTCATGTTCTAACATCTCAGCTGGAGCTGGGTGAGCTCCTCAGTCAGGTCTGGCCCCAAGCCTGTCCATGATCCATCCCCCATACCTAGACCACATACTTGAACATAGCCAGGAAAGACAGAATAATTGTTCCCACATAGCTACCTCTTACCTGGTATCTTCTTTTATTTTTTTTTTAAGATTTTTTAAATTTATTTCTTAGACAGAGAGACAGCGAGAGAGGGAACACAAGCAGGGGGAGTGGGAGAGGGAGAAGCAGGCTCCCCGCTGAGCAGGGAGCCCGATGCGGGACTCGATCCCAGGACCCTGGGATCATGACCTGAGCCGAAGGCACACGCTTAACCGACTGAGCCACCCAGGTGCCCCTTACCTGGTATGTTCTCGCTCTGTTGACCAGAGGTACTTGCTTTTCCTGGGGGGCACAGCTCTTTCTGAGCCTGCTCAGGGCCAGGTGTTATTGGTATTGGTTCTGAATCACTTTCTTCCTTTATTGGTTTCTTGAGCATCACCTTTTTAATGTGAAGGTCACATATAAACAGTATCAGTGGCATTTCTCTAGTGCTTTAGAGCTTACAAAGTGTCTTCACATGCACACCTTGGTTAATGGCCTCAACAACTCTGGGAGATCATTATGTCCCCTGTACCTAAATTATGAAGAAGGTTAGAACAAAAAGGAATGGCTTAAATGAAGGGTGTTTCCAGGACTAGAACGTTTGTCTTCACCCATTCTTGCAAACAGCAAAATGCTCCACGTAAGTGGAGTGTGGTATACAGAAAATTTGGGGAAGAGTAGCATTCTAAGAATCCATGTGGTCTCTGGAAGAAAGGAGGGGCTTCTATAAAATATAAGGGCTCGCATATAAGCTAGTAGAGAGCTACTGGGAGAATAAAGGTAAAAATTCACAGGGGGACAGAACACTCCTGGAAAATGTTATAGGGGAGATGAGCACAGGGGAGAGGAAAGGAATGGTTCACAGCAATTAATATAGACAGCAAAGAAAGCAGCACCAGATGTCACATTCTGTCCTACCTTGGCAAGAACGGTTAATGGGGAGTTAGGCAAGATGGTTCCCCGTACCAATTTTGCTTGCGTCATGGTGCGTCACTGACCAACAATCTTAAGCTACTTTTCCTTCAGCTCCCTCATTTAGGAAACAGTGAACAAGAAAAGTAAAAGAAGCTAAGGGAAAGTACTTTCTGAGCTTGCAAACACTTTTCAATGTGGTAATAATGAAAATGAATACTTTCTCTTATGACTCTTCTTTGAATTGTCTCAAAGGTCCCCACACTGGCAATCCAACTCCCCGGGGCCTTGACCCTCTAAAGTAGAGTTTAATCTACAACTGCGGAATCACTTACTCAAGGAACAATTTGGGGCACCTCAGAGGGTCCCCCTGGGCCGGGATGGAGGCTTCAGAGATGCCTCAGGTGCAGACAAGGCCCCAAAGGAGCTCATAGCAGGGAGGGGCAGACAGCCCACCATTCTCAAGCCGGGAGAGACCGGCCCTGCCACAGAGCAGAGGGGAGCTGGTACTTCCTGTTTCGAGAGTGGGTGTCTAATTGGAAGCATCAGCAGCTTCTGTGGGGTAAAGCCCTTGCGGTGGCGGGGGCGGGGGGAGCCTCTGAACTTCATAAACACATGAAAAGTTTCATGAGCTGGGAAATCATTTGGGGCTTTTCTTAAATTGTCCTGTGATTCATTAACAGTGTTTAGCAAGAACAATAAACCTTTTAAAAAAAGAAATGTTTCAAATGTACAGATTACTATCACTGCCTCTGTGATCTCAGGCAAATTACTTAGAATTTCGGCACCACAATATCTTCATCTTTATGATTAGTTATTATTATTATTAATATCCTCATTATTATCTGGGAATAATGATAGGAAAATGTCATAGAGGTTTTCTGAAGGATTAAAGAAATTAATCCTTGTGAGTTGCTTAAAATATCTGACATCACTATGAAAACAAAAGTAGTATCAACTATCACAATTGTTCATTATTAAGCCATTGATGCTACATCAGGAATTGTGATAAAGAGATCAGGAAAGGGAGGCAGTGAGGGCTAGGCTATATTCAATATTCTCCCACTCTTACCGATATTCACATCCGTGGAGGGAGAAAGAGTCTCTGGTTCTTTAGATCTGGGAGATACTCACCTTCATTTGCTCTCGATCTTGCGCATCAGAAGGCCCCTGACGAGGTTCACCTGAAAGAAAGTGATAAACAGGAATTTTTCTTTGTTGGCAAATAGTCCCAAACTCCAGAGACTCCTGTAGTTATCTGCAGTATCTGCAGGAAAGGGTTATGAGTCCACTTATTGTCAAGGAGTTATTTTGAGACTGGTTTTTGAATTATCTTTAAGTCATGGTTTATACATTTATTTGTAGCACCAATTCGTAATTTTCCTTCTGATGATTTATAAAATGTGAACCAAACCCCATCACTGCCTCATCCTACTCTACTACATATTTCTTACCTTTCCCCCCAAAGAATTACACTGATTGAATTAATTAAATTAAATTGATTGCATTCACTTAAAAGGATGTGGCAACTAAAATCACTGTCCACGTAAACCAGGTAAACTTTATAGTATATGCCAATTATACTTCAACAAAGCTGTTAGGTGTATGAGGAATCATGGGTGATTTGGCCCACGGGTTCTGGAATATTTCCAGTATAAAGATACTCCTTTAGGAGGACGCCTGGGTGGCTCAGTCGGTTAAGCGTCTGCCTTCGGCTCAGGTCATGATCCCAGGGTCCTGGGATCGAGTCCCGCATCGGGCTCCCTGCTCTGCGGGGAGCCTGCTTCTCCCTCTGCCTCTGTCTCTCATGAATAAATAAATAAAATCTTAAAAAAAAAAAAAAGATACTCCTTTAGGGACACCTGGGTGGCTCAGTAGGTCAAGCGTCTGCCTTCGGCTCAGGTCATGGTCCCAGGGTCCGGGGATCGAGCCCCGCATCGCATCGGGTTCCCTGCTCAGCAGGGAGTCTGTTTCTCCCCCTGCCACTCCCCCTGCTTTGCGGGCGCTCTCTCTCTCTCTCTGACAAATAAATAAGTAAAATCTTTTAAAAAAAGGTACTCCTTTAGTGTCAAAAGCTTTGTAGATTCTCAAGAACTGGATTTTCAACCCTCTCAGCAATTTTGGGAGCTTGTAGAATCTGGCCTGTTTTCCTGGAGAGTCATAGGTCTATTGGGGACAGTTTGGCAATTCTGTCTCTGCTTACCGCTGTGCTGTCAGAGTAGAAAAGCAAGGGAATACACTTCATCCCCTTTATGGTGAGTACACAAACTGATCAAATACACAAAGATTTCTAGAATCTGCTACCCTTTTCACCATATGTTACCTCTGCTTACTGATAAGGAGAAAAGCTAATGTGCGGAGGATCACTTTCTCAAACCCTCTCTCAAGCTCAACACATAGAATCAGGTTTGCTGAGGAGCAAGAAGACTAGTTTAGGTAAGACATACGGAAATAGCTGTGTGTCATTTCATAATGCATTCATCGCTCTTTTTTTTTTTTAAGATTTTATTTATTTATTAGAAAGCGAGTGAGCGAGAAACAGCATGAGAGGGGAGAGGGTCAGTGGGAGAAGCAAGCTCCCCGCTGAGCCGGGAGCCGGATGTGGGACTCGATCCCAGGACTCCAGGATCATGACCTGAGCCGAAGGCAGTCGCTTAACCAACTGAGCCACCCAGGCGCCCCTCATCGCTCTCTCTTAAGATATTTATCCAACACCTATGCCTTATTATGAAATTGACTCTGGAAGTTTTTTTGTGGATTTACACTTTTTTGAATTTAAGTTTTACTTTTTTTTAAAGATTTTATTTATTTATTTAAGAGAGAGAGAGAGCACCAGCAAGCTCAAGCGGGGGGAGGGAGAGGGACAAGCAGACTCTGAGCTGAGCATGGAGCCCAATGTGGGGCTCGATCCCACGAGCCCGAGACCATGACCCGCGCTGAAATCAAGAGCCAGACACCCAACTGACTCAGCCACCCAGGCACCCCTACACTTTCTAATATTATTTATTTATTTGAGAGAGCGAGCGAGAGCACAGGCAAGGGGAGCAGCAGAGGGAGAGGGAGAAGCAGACTCCCCCCGGGGCAGGGAGCCCGACACAGGGCTCGATCCCAGGACCCCGGGACTAAGACCCAAACCAAAGGCAGACGCTCAACTGACTGAGCCACCCAGGCGCCCCATCCCTACACTTTTTAAAAAAAGTAATCACTATGCCCAACGTGGGGCTTGAACTCACGACCCCGAGATCAAGCGTCCTGTGCTCTACTGACAGTCAGCCAGGCGCTCCACATGGATTTACACTTCAATTAAATTTTTCTTAATTGTCCTGTGATTCATTAACAGTGTTTAGCAAGAACCATAACTCCTTTTAAAAAAGAAATGTTTCAAACGTACAGAAAATTATGGAGAATAATTTTGGAAACACATGCACATCTACCACTGAGTCTACTCAGAACTTCCCATTATCCCACAACCGCTTCAGATTGTTCTGAGATCTTTATTCAAAATATAACAAAACACTATAAACAAGTCACAGCTCAAGCCATCTGTGCAGTTCTCACTGATCCCTGACCTCCCTCCCTCTGCACTCCGGAATTTTTTTTTTAAGATTTTATTTTATTTGTTTGAGAGAGAGAGACACAGCAAAAGAAGGAACACAAGCAGGGGGAGTGGAGAGGGAGAAGCAGGCTTCCCGCCGAGCAGGGAGCCTGATGCGGGGCTCCATCCCAGGAACCTGGGATCATGACCTGAGCCGAAGGCAGAGCTTAACCGACTGAGCCACCCAGGCGCCCCTGCACTCCTGAATTTGATGGGTTTTATTCTCATTCAGGTTTTATACATTTACCATTTACTTCTTATCCATAAAAATATATCCTCTTGTTTTGCATGTTTTAGGATTTTATATGAATGGCCTCTGGCTCTACTTAACCTTCTACATCCAACTTTTCTCACTCAGCCAAGATGCTTTTGAGGGAACAAACTCCCGAGAATCCTTCCCAAGCACTTGGACCCCAAAGCAGTTGGGCTTCAGGAGACTCTCTCCAGGCCCTTCCTTCCACTCACCCTGATTCTTGCGGTCCTGACCTTCATCAGAATCATGCCCACTGGATTTCATGGCCCTCTTTTTAGGACACATGAAGGCTGGGAGGGTGGCCCTGAGACCTAGAAAGAAGCAAAATATTTGTTCCTTCAGAGACAGCTTGAGAGGACAGATGCAGGGTAGAATCCTGGGAGGCAGCGGGGACAGGCAAGCTCATCAGCTGGGGGACTCCAAACAAGGGTGACCAGAAGAGAAACGGGCAGGATCTAGGTCTGAGCCTCTTTGTGGCCACTCCAGGTCCTCAGCCCTGCACAGAATATAAAAGAGCAGAGTGCCTCAAAGCTGCCTTGGGATTTCTCCCTGCACAAAAGGAAGATGCAGGGCACTTACTGCAGCCTAGGAAGAAGCCATGGCATGTAAGGGACTGAGGGATGGTCATGTGTTCCCAGGTTTGTTTGCACCCAGAACTTTCTGTTACCTAGACCAGTCATGGTGTCATAGTTTCTCTTCATGTACACATAGGTGATTTTATCTGAGTATCCAAGTTTTGCCCATTCTTCCTTAGAGAAGTATTTGGAAATATCCTTGAAGGCCTAGGAAAAAAAAAAAAAAAGTCAGAGCAGCAACTCAGCTAAACATGCCTGATCTGCGGCAGGGGTCTCTTCCTCTGCCACAGGACCTCCATGTTGGATCTGTGAACTGGGGAGAATAATCCCTCTCCTCGTTAATGTCAAGGCTAACTGAGAGAACATGGGTAACATTCCCTACCCTTTCCCCAGGCATGCAGTAGATGCGTGATGCTGGTGGCATGCTCTTTCACCTTCCAGAATGGATTGAGAGTCACCAAATGCAGTGCAAGGTCATAAGACCAGTTGTTTCCAGAGATGCTAGGTGAGGACAGAGTGAAGGTGGGAAACTCCAGAGGCTCTGGATCTCCCCCTGACACTCTCCTTCTTTTCCCCAGTGCCTCTGACCTCGCCTCTTCAAGATCTAGTCCCTCTACAGTATCCCCTGAGCCATTCCCCTCCCCCCTCCAGATCACCTCACCTTGCATTTCTTCTCTGGTTTCTGGGTATCCTCCTTGGAGTTCTTTGAAAAGGAGCTGTCTTTATTCATGGCCCTGGGAATCGTTCGATCTCGAAAGGACGCAGCCTAATCTCTCCAACCACAAGGACAAAGGTCCTGAAAAAGGGAGACAGCACTGAGGGTAGGTCACATTCAGTCAATCACCTGGAATCAAGGTTCTACTTTTCCCCATCCTGGGCTTATCTGTCCCTGAGAAAGGACAAGGGTGGGGGGAGTCAAACAAACAGGGGGCAAGACGCCTGAGTGGCTCAGTCGGTTAAGAGTCTGCCTTCGGCTCGGGTCATGATCCCAGGGTCCTGGGACAGAGCCCTGCATCGGGCTCCCTGCTCAGCAGGAAGCCTGCTTCTCCCTCTACCTGCCGCTCCCCTTGCTTGTGCTCTTTCACTCTCTCTCTTTGACAAATAAATAAAATCTTTAAAAAACCAAAAACAAAAACAAGAATGCCTGGGTGGCTCAGTTGGTTAAGCGTCTGCCTTTGGCTCGGGTCATGATCCTGGGGTCCTGGGATCAAGCCCCGCATCAGGCTCCTTGTTCAGTGGGGAGCCTGCTTCTCCCTCTCCCTCTGCCCCCCCCCTCATGCGCTCGCTCGCTTTCTCTGTCTCTGACAAATAAATAAATAAAATCTATTAAAAAAATTAAAACAAAACAAAAACAAACAGGGGGCCAGAGATCTATGAAAGAAAGTATTGATTAGGGATGACAGGTTTTCTGTAAGCATGATCAAAGCAACCTTAAGACTTTGAGAGGGAGTTGGCTACTGTTGTTAGTAGTTTGCTTGAAGTTTGGCTTATCCTGAAGGAAAGATATAAAGACGCTTGTTGAGGAAGCAGTGAAGTGAACATGTAGTTTTATGGAGGGGGAGGGGGTGTGTTTTGAGGCAGAAGAATGGGGAGGTAAGTCCCATAGATTATATGGTGTCTCTGACAGATGGGTTTGGGCTTTCAGGCGGAGGGATATGGGGTTTTGTTCTGTTGAAAAGAGCAAATGAGGATCTCTAATATAGAGTGGATTTAGAGCCCATTACTAGGTTATTTGAAAATTATTAGTGTGAAGGGCGCCTGGGTGGCTCAGGTGGTTAAGAGTCTGCGTTTGCCTCAGGTCATGATCCCAGGCTTCTGGGATCGAGCTCCACATTGGGCTCCCTGCTCAGTGGGGAGCCTGCTTCTCCCTCTCCCACGCCCCCCCTTGGACATGCTCTCTCTCTCTTTCTGGCAAATAAAATCTTTATAAAAAAACCAAAATTATTAGTATGAAGAGAACTGGAATCTCCTAGACTACAGGATCAGCCTTCACTTAGGCTGAGAATGTGGAGAGTTTTATCTTTTTTTAAGATTTTATTTATTTTTGCGAAAGAGAGAGAATGAGCACGAGCGGGGGGGGAGGGGCAGAGGGAGAAGCAGGCTCCCCGCTGAGCCGGGAGCCCGATGTGGGACTCGATTCCAGGACCCTGGGATCACCACCCAAGCTGAAGGCAGACTCAACCCACTGAGCCACCCAGGCGCCCTAGAATTTGGAAACTTTTAATGGAGAAGTCTGGTGTTCTCCACTGATGGCATTGGGAATCTCTGAGGGAGAGGAAATTTAGTGGTCTCTGAGGCTAAGAAAGTTTCTGCTTTATCCTGGAGGAGGCAATAAAGGAGTCACTCAGGCAGCGTCTTTTATCTCCGGTTAAAGAAATCTAGGGGCAACTAGCTGATTTGGGGATTTCTCCGGCTGAGAGTGTTCTTCCCTCAGGAAGAGCAATTAGAAAGTCTCATAGACCAAAAATAGTTTTAGTTTTATCTTTGCCTGACCGGGATTGCCCCGAAAGGCTTCAAGTCATTTCTCAGTCCTAAGGATCTTGAGGCTGTTGTGAGGTACAGCAAGAACTAAACTACTAGAAGGATCTACAGAGATTCCTCACCTGTCCAAGACGGTCCCAAGAGAGCGCTTACCTCAGAGCTGAAGCGGTCGCGACGAAGAGTCGCTCCACGAGACAAAATCCCACAATTCCACTGTCCAAGGGTAATAAACCAATCAGAACAGTTAATGAACTTGAACTGGCCAATCAGGGGTTAGGAGAGTAGGCGGGGCAAGTGAGTCAGGAACGGGGTCTAAAAGTCCAGCTCCAGGGACAGGACCGCCTTTTTAAAGGGGGTTGATTCTCCAGCTTGAAGCAGGATTGCGCTCTGCCAGAATTGGTCACTGCAGATTCTGTAGGCCCATTCCTGCGCATGCTCAGATGTTCCCTTTCCGGTGTACATCTCGCTAATCTTTGCTCTGCTTTTGTTGTTTCGTTTTAATAAATGGTAAATATGAGGCCACCACCTCAAATCCTTGCTATCAGTCTCCAACTTCCTCAGATATGGGGCTCTTTTCTAGGACCTCCCTAGCGACTTAAGAAATTTTAAACTTTTTTTAGATTGAATTACTTTTGTTAATATACACATCAAATTACTGAAACAGTGACTTCATATAGTTGTTCCATTAAAGATAGCACTTGCAGGTATGAAGGTATGGAGATGTCTCCAGTCTTCATATGTTTACTTGAAAAGATTCTTCAACAGCAGTCTGATATTGGGTTTCCCACTCTAGATGAAGATTAACAAATTATCCATAATCAATCTGATGTCTTTCATTAGATGACTAACAAAATTTCTAGTAATTTGGCTAGGAGCTCCCCAGTGAACAGACACAGAAATAGGACACATCACAGGAACTATCTGGCCATTGTTACAGTGATTCCATAAATGCTGTCAGGTAAAATTTGATCCTTGACAAAAGGGACACTTAAAGGTGGGATGCCCAGAAAAACTTGTGTTTTCTTGACAAGTCTCTGTTTCTCAGAGGTGAGTGTTTCACTCCTATTACTGTTCCCTACTGAATCTTGAGAGATCTGAAAGTTTGGAATGGGAGAGTAAACGCCATATTCATACTGATACTTCTTATTTTTAAAAAGATTTTATTCATTCATTTGACAAGGACAGAGAGAGAGAGAGAGCTCACAAGCAAGAGAAACAACAGGCAGTGGGAGAGGGAGAAGCAGGCTCCCCGCTGAGCAGGGAGCCCAATGCAGGGCTCGATCCCAGGACCCTGAGATCATGACCTGAGCTGAAGGCAGACTCTTAAGTGACTGAGCCACCCAGAAGTCCCTTTTTTAAAATTAAAAAAAGTTTTTAAAAGATTTTATTCATTCATTTGACAGAGAGAGAGAGAGCAAGCACAAGCAAGGGGAGCGCACAAGCAAGGGGAGTGGCAGGCAGAGGGAGAGGGTGAAGCAGGCTCCCTGCTGAACAGGGACATCTTGATACGTCTTAACAAGATTTGTAATGATGTCTCAAGTAATAGAATTTGTTTTGCACAGCATCTGCAGCTACCAGAAAACTTCCTCATGGTAGTTTCAAGGTCTAAGGCTTGTTCAGGACAGTCTCTCTCTCTTCTAGTCACATTTCCATAACAGAGGGGATAGCGTGTTCTGCTTTCTCTTGTTGCAGTCAGAAAACATTTTCTACAGAAGATGTGCTGATAGGCCATGGCATAAAACAACAGAAATTTATTTTATCACAGTTCTGGAGGCTAGAAGTCTAAAATAATTTTCTCTGGGCTGAAATCAGGGTGTCAGCAGAGCTGAACTGTTTTCAGAGGCTCTAGGAGAGAATCTGCTCTTTGCTCTTCTGGCTTCTGGGGGCTGCCAGCATTCTTTGGCTGTGGCTGCATCATTCTAATCTCTGCCTCCATGGTCACACCCCCCCCTTCTCTTCTGTTGGTGTCAAATTTCCCTCTGCCTCCCTCTGATAAGGACACTTGTGATACATTTAGGACCCACCCAAATAATCCAGGATAATCTCCTTATCTCAAGATCTTTAACTTAATCACATCGGCAAAGTCTTTTTTGTTATTATTGTAAGGTAACACACATAAATTCCAGGAAATAGAATATCTTTGGGGGGGATTAGTCACTCTCCTGTAATCTGCCCTCTGGTCCCCAAAGATTCATGTCCATGTACTACACGTACTACATCACCAAATCCCCCAATTTCTCAATACATTGCAGTATGAACTCAAGTCCAAAATCTCATTTAATATTATCAGCTCAAAAATACCAAATCTCATCACCTGAAATAGCCATGGATTAAACTCTGGGTCACATGTGAAGATTTATTGACTAATTTTAAGGCATGTCCTGGAGGGGTAGAGATCTGTAGGAAATCTTTCCTGGAACAGAAGTTCTAGCAGGAACCATTTTTCTTGCCTTCCTTCAGCCTAGCTGGGCCAAAGCTGGCAGGTACCTGTTCTGCCACTCTCCATCTACCTTGCCAGCACCACTTGCCCCACCTGACTCCTTTGCAGCCCCACCCTGCACAATGGGCCCATCTCAGTAGATACTCCTCCAAAGCAGCTTCTGCCCCACACCACCCTGTGGGCAGCCTCAGTTGGGACCATTGCCCCTCCAAAGTGATTCCTGTGACAGGAAGAGGCAGCTGCATCCACCAGCATGCCTGCAAGAGTCACGGGCAGGCCTCACAGCCAGCAACACCAGGGGATAACTCCACCCACCAACACAGCCACAGCAGCTTCAACTGGGCCTCTCAGGCAGTCATGCTGGGGCCCAGCACTACCCACGAGCAGTTGCAGCCCAGTCACAATAGGAGGGCACATGCAGCCTACACAGGGGACACCTTTGGAGTGCCTGGTTTTGGTGACCAGAGGGGATTGTGCTTTTGGGCCCCGTAAGATGCCTTCTACTAAAGCTACTACCTTAAAGACCAGGAGATGTAGTGGACCTACCTAAGACATAGAAACAAACACAGAGAGTCAGACAAAATGAGGAGACAGAGGAATATGTTCCAAATGAAAGAATAAGTCAAAACCTCAGGAAAAGAACTAAATGAAATGGATATAAGCAGTCTACCTGATAAAGAGTTCAAAGTAATGATCATAAAGATGTTCAGAGAACTTGGGAAAAGAGTTAATGAATTCACTGAGAATGTCAACAAAGAGAAAATATAAAAAAGAACAAATCAGAGCTGAAGAATATAATAACTGAAATGAAAAACACATTAATGGGAAATCAGTAAAAGATTGGAGGATGCAGAAGAACAGATCAGTGATCTGGGAGACAGGGCAGTGGAAATCATCCAAACTTAACAGCAAAAAGAAAAAGGAATTTAAAAAATGAGGATAGATTAAGGGACCTCTAGGACAACATCAAGCATATTAACATTCTTTATGTTAATACACACATTATAGGGGTCCCAGAAGGAGAAGAGAGAAAGGGGCAGAAAACATATTTGAAGAAATGATAGCTGAAAACTTCCCCAGCCTGGGGAAGGACAGACATCCAGGTCCAAGAATCACAGAGATCCCCCACATAAATGAACCCAAAGAGCATAAGACATATAATAATTAAAGTGTCAAAAATTAAAGCTAAAGAGAGAATCTTAAAAGCAGCAAGAGAAAAATAATTAGTTACATACAAGGAAACATCCTTAAGGCTATCAACTGATTTTTCAGCAGAAACTTTGCAGGCCAGAAGAAAGTGGCATGATATATTTAAAGATGACGGACAAAACCCCCACAAAATCCCTACAACCAAAAATACTTCATTCAGCAAGATTATCACTCAGAATTTAAGGAGAGATAAAGAGTTTCCCAAACAAACAAAAGTTAAAGAAGTTTATCACCACTAAATCAGGCTTACAAGAAATGTTAAAGGGACTTCTTTACATGGAAAAGATGCATCATTACTAGATATAAGAAAACTATGAAAGAAAAAAACTTCATTGGTAAAAGCAAGCATATAGTTAAAGTAGTTGATCAATAACCTATAAAGCTAGTATGAAGATTAAAAGTCAAAGGTAGAACAATCAAATATATCTACAATAAGTAGTTAAGGGATACACAAAATAAAAGATGCAAATTATGACATCAAATACATGAAACATTCAGGAGGGGAGGGAGTAAAAATGTAGTGTTTTTAGAATGCGTTTGAACTTAGGCAACCATCAATTTATTTATTTTTAAAGATTTTATTTATTTATTTGACAAAGATAGAGAACACAAGTAGGCAGAGCAGCAGGCAGAGGGAGAGGGAGAAGCGGGCTCCCCGCTGAGGAAGGAGGCTGACACGCGGCTGGATCGCAGGACCCTGGGATTATGACCTGAGCCGAAGGCAGCCGCTTAACCGACTGAGCCACCCAGGTGCCCCGCAACCATCAATTTAAATAAGACTGCTATATACATAGGGTGTTATATTTGAACCTCATGGTAACCACAAACCAAAAACTTAGATACACACAAGGAAAAATAAAGAGAAATGAATCTAAGCACAACACTAAAGAAAATCATCAAATTACAATGGAAGAGAGCAAGAGAAGGAGAAACGAATATAAAAGAACTATAAAAACAACCAGAGGGGCGCCTGGGTGGCTCAGTCGGTTAAGCGGCTGCCTTCGGCTCAGGTCATGATCCCAGGGTCCTGGGATCGAGCCCCGCATCAGGCTCCCTGCTCAGCAGAGAGCCTGCTTCTCCCTTTCCCTCTGCCTGCCGCTCTGCCTACTTGTGCTATCTCTCTGTCAAATAAATAAATTAAAAAAGAAATCTTTAAAACAAAAAAAACAACCAGAAAACAATGAAGAAAATGGCAATAAGGACTTACCTATCAACAATTACTTTAAATTTAAATGGAATCAATTCTCCAACAAAAGACATACGGTGACTGAAGGGATGAAAAAACAAGACCCATTTATATACTGCCTACAAGAGGCTCACTTCAGACCTAAAGACACATACAGACTGAAAGTGAAGAGATGGAAAAAGATATTCCCTGCAAATGGAAATAAGAAAAGAACTGGGGTAGCAATACTTATATCAGACAAAATAGACTTTAAAACAAAGACTGTAACAAGAGATAAAGAAGGGCATAACAAAATGATAAAGAGGAATGTGACAAGAGGATATAAAAATTATAAATATCTGTGCACAAAATAGGAGCATCTAAATATATAAAGCAAATATTAACAGACATAAAG